CAGGTCCCAGCCATTGTTGCAGGCATTTTCATTGTAGGAAGTCGGCTAACTTGAATTTATTGACAAAATCTGAATCCAGGTTGTGTTTGTCTTCTGGCCTCAGATGCAACTGTGACCATCTTACATGCTTCTGTAGGAAGTCGGCATGAAAATATGGGCCCAGAGGGTCCTTTAATTCTATTATTCTGCTGGGCTAGGGAGATACAGCATGAGTGTTAGCACTTAGAATTATATGCAGAAACCCCACCAAACCCCTTGTTATCTACTAGTCCCTAACCCACAGACTTCCACTGTTGCTGTACTGACAAGACACAGAAATTACGAATTTTATTATATGTGCTGCCGAAGCGAGCACAGAAATTACGAATTTTATGATAACCATTGGATGCTACAAGAAATTAGGAGGAGAAAACTATAAAGCATTAATTTTGGGCTGCCAATCTGTGCCTGCCCAGCCTGACTCACATAGATTCACACGGCAGACAGCTCTAGAAGGACATAGAAAATTGCTCTCTGGGGGAACTGAGGGACAGGATTATTGGCGTCTTCAAAGTATTAATGAAGTGAGCAATAGATTAAACAGAATTTGGAAGGCCATGGGCCCAGCTCGTGGGTTTCAGAGGCTGCGGTGTTCTCGGTGGATCAAGCAGCTGAGAGCTGTGTATAGCAGCCCCGGTGAACAGCAGTTAAAGGGAACCATAGGTGCTAGTAGAACCGCCCCAAAGAGCCATTCATTTAAAGATCTGCAGAACTCGCCATCTTCCCGGCACTTGGAAAACAAATGTGCATGCTAGATACGACCCCTGTCCCATGAGTAAATTCATGCTGAAGGAAGTATGTGTCATAAGAACCCAACCGAATGAGGGTTACAGGAACTTTGGGAAATCTTTTCTAGAGACACTGACTTTTTTTTTAATTATTATTATGTTATGTTAATTACCATACATTACATCATTAGTTTTTGATGTAGAGACATTGACTTTTAAGCTGAGACCTGAAGCATGAGTCTGGTTCCACCAGGCACAGAGCAAGGAGAAGTGTGTCCTGGGAAGTGAAACAGTCAGAGGTGTTCCAAGCAGAGACAACAGCATGAGTGAAGGCCCAGAGCTGAAGAGATGGGTTCATTTAAGAAACAGAGAAGGATCCAACATGGACGGGCTGTAGATCTGAAGGTGGAAAGGGGGGCAGGGCAAGGCCAGGTAGGCTGGGTATTTTCCTAAGGCATTAGTGGGGATCCCCTGGAGGCAGGGGAATGCCATGAGCAGATTTCTCTTTTGGAAAGATTGTCAGATTACTAGTAGCCTGTGGTATGGAAAGTGGATTGAAGGGTGCAAGAAAGCCCAGCAAGCAGACAATTATAGAAACCCTTACAGATGAAGAAGCCTGGAGTGGGGTGCAGTGCACATTTAGATGTGGTTTCATGGGATCCTACATGGGGCTGGGGAAGAGCTGACATTGACTACGATCCCCCCTGCTCATGCTCTCTCTCTCTCAAAAAAATAAATAAACAAATAAATCTTAAAAAAATAAATAAAAAGATGTGATCCCACCTGAGTATGAGTCTCTCCTCGCCCAGGCCTCTCACTGGCTGCCCCTCATTAAAGAATTGCACTCTTGCCTGATACCGTTATTTGTTTTCATTATTTTTCCGCTGACACTTTACACACCTATAACTTTCTCTGCACTTTTTCTGTGAAACTACAGACTTCATTAACTTACCTCAGGAACTTTCCTTTGTGGGACCTTATGCTGAAGGAAACAAAAAGGAATAAAGAGAAACTTTCCAGGCCTCTAGGGGAATGTCCTTATTTGCCGACTGTCTTATATAAATGGGCATGGAAACTAGGAAGCCCTAATTTCTAGTATATAAAGTAAACAAAGTGAGCTAATTAAAACAATCCATTTGGAGGGCATTCACATCTCCTTGTTAACCCCAAATTCTTAGCTCCAGGTCCTTGGGGATTTACTTTCTCTCCCTTATACCTTTCCTGGCCTGTCATGAGAAGGAGCCACGCAAGAGACATGTGCTATGGATATCCTTCCGATGTACATGCCCATGGAATGCGTGTCTCACAGAATTCCAGTGTTGATCAGAATAAGGTAAGGGAGAAAATTTCCACCCAAAATGTGTCTCTTTGGCATGAGGACTATTTTAGACTCATTATTTTTAAGAAACAGAAGGCTCAGGAAGAAACTTTCTTCCCCCAATTGCCAAAAGGAATTTAGATAAGGGTTCTGCCCCCAGGAACATAGGTATCACCATAGATAAGCACAGTGTAATATGAAGTAGGTGAGGTAGACAGGGAGGAACCTAGCAAAGTCTGTTTAAAGATTTTATTTATTTATTTATTTATTTAGAGTGCGTGTTGGGTGGGGAGGGGCAGAGGCAGAGAGAGAGAGAGAGAGAGAGAGAGAGAAAGAATCTCAAGCAGGCTCCATGCCTAACATGGAGTCCAGTGCAGGGCTCGATCTCACGACCTTGAGATCATGACCTGAGCCGAAATCAAGAGTCAGATGCTTTACCAACTGAGCCACCCAGGTGCCCTGAAAATCTGTACACATGAAACAGTAAATCCCCATTCCTTCCCACAAGCCCTGACAGCCCCCATTCTACTTTCTGTCTCTATGAATTTGATGACTTTAGGTACCTCATATAGGTGGAATCAGATAATATTTGTCTTTTTGTGGCTGGCTAATTTCATTTAACATAATATCCTCAGTGTTCATTCATGTTGTAGCATGTGTCAGAATTTCCTTCTTTTTTAAGGTTGAATGATATTCCATTGCATATTTGTACCACATTTTATGTATCAGTTCATCCATGGATGGACACTTGGTGCTTCCATGTTTTCACTATTGAGAATAATGCTATGAACACAGGTATACAAAGATCTCTTTGAGTTCTTGCTTTCAATTCTTTTGGGTATATACAGGGAAGTAGAATTGCTAGATCATATGGTAATTCTATGTTTAATTTTTTGAGTAACTGCCACACTGTTTTCCATAGCAGTTAAACTGTTTTATGTACCTACCAACAGTGCATAAGGATTCCAGTTTCTCCACAGCCTCTCCAACACTTGATATTAGCCATCCTAATGGGTGTGAAGTGGTATCTCATTATAGTTTTGATTTGCAGTTCCCTAATAATAAGTGATGTTGAGTATCTTTTCATGTGTATGTTGGCCATTTGTATATCTTCTTTGGAAAGATGCCTATTGAGTCTCTTGTCCATTTTTAATTGGGTTGTTGGGTTTTTTACTTGCTGTTGTTGAGTTGGAGGAGTTCTTTGTATATTATGGATATTAATCCTCTACCAGGTATATGATTGGAAAATATTTTTTCCCATTACATAGGTTTCCTTTTCAATTTACTGATTCTGTCCTTTGATATACAGAGTTGGCCTCTTAAACTTCATACCGTTGGTGCCTCTCTTGCTTCACTCCAGTCCTTACCCTCATACTAGTCCTTGTCTCTTCCACGAGCATTTGACAAATCTAAAGTGTTTGAAACAACCAAGAGTACACTTGGATTTCTGAAAGTTTAATTAGGCTCAGAATTTTATTCTTCCTTCTGAACTCTTTCGATAACCCGAGGTATCCAAATTTGAATGTTGTTTCTGAAGCATGACCTAACCTATCCTAATTGTTACATGAGATAAGGAGCCTCAAAGAAAGGTTGCTAGGACCCTCTGTGCCATCCCTAAGGAGAGAGAAGCTTTAGAACTCTTATTAAATGATCACAATGGGCCAGGCATTACTTTATTTTACATGTGTTAACTCCCTTAATCGTTTTTTTTTTTTAAGATTTTATTTATTTATTTGACAGAGAGAGACACAGCGAGAGAGGGAACACAAGCAGGGGGAGTGGGAGAGGGAGAAGCAGGCTCCCCACGGAGCAGGGAGCCCGATGCGGGGCTCGATCCCAGGACCCCGAGACCACGACCCGAGCCGAAGGCAGACGCCCAACGACTGAGCCACTCAGGCGCCCCTTACATGTGTTAACTCCCTTAATCTTGACGACAGCTTTATAATATGTATGCTGTTTGCACCCCCCACTTTTCACATGAAGGCAGGGGACAGAAGGGCTGAATAAACTGCTGAAGGTAACATAGCTAATAGGTGGCAGAACTAGGATTTGTATCACAGAAGGCTGGTTCCAGATTCTGTCCTCTTAACCAATTATAAACTTAGTTGATACATCATCTTCCCCATATTTAATTTTAAAAGTTATTTCAGATTTTGGCATCTTCCAGTGCAGTTGGTTTCCAGCATGCTGCATTTGCAGGCTTTGCTTAGACATCGTGGCTCCTCTCCTAGCATTTCTTTTCCTTCTCTTGGCTTCCAGAAATGACTTCTATTCTATCCTCACATGAGCAAGATCTGAGCCTCCTGTAAATCCATCCTTTCCTACTGAACACTTTATCCACAGCTATATTCATGAGCTGAAATCAGGGCCGACAGTTAAACCCCTCCTACCTCTAAGAGGCATATTGTAATAAAGCAATAATGCCCAGTCTCTGTCCCTCCTACCCCAATAGACTCGGAGGGCTAATGAAAAGCTACACCTGACTCTTGGGTACAGAAAAGCAAACCCCACTTGTCTGGCTGAGAGCCAGCGAATGATGCCATCTTAGCAGGGTCAATGTCTCAGCAGGTCATACCTCTCAGGGAAAGGAATAATTCATGTCCTCACATACTCTCTTTGGCTGATGATGTGTTTGATGTTCTCCCATATTCTTTCACCAACATTGAATTTTAATGGATTAGGTAAAATAGCCAAGCCCAGCTTATGAAATAGGATGTCTCTTTGAATCAAATCTATTTATCCAGAAAAGAATCACTTCTGTAGGTTTGTGGAACACCTCAGCTGTTGACAAATGATCCCCATGGCTTCTTTTCATCTGCCTGGGCTCCAAAACCCGATTGATCTTGAGGATAAAATGGCTCCACCACCAAGCCACCCCCGCCATCCTAATTATTATGACTTGTCATTTTCTGCAGGGTCCTGTGGATCTACTCTGAGACGGGTACGTGGGTATATCCTGTGTTTGCCAAACTCAGCCCGGTGGGTCTAACAGCCTTCTTCTCTCTCAGCTACATCTTTAATGCCGGCATCTATCTACTTGGAGAGAAGCTCAACCACTGGAAATGGGGTCAGTTTATTTCTCTTTCACCTATAGAAACATACCTTCCTTACACTTTCTCCACTCCTCCTGGAAACAGGAGGAACTAGTCCAAGAGCTAAAGGCAGTGAAGCTTAACGCCTTTGTTCAAAGGATTCAGACAGGTCCTACCAAAGTAGGCAAAGCGAAAGCCTGGGGGAAGTTTGAGTTTTCTCGAAGGATCCCATCAAATTATCTCCCCTCCTCCCCCAAACGACACCTCATTTAATTTCAAGGCTAAAAATAATCTTGTTTAGTGAGCTCAGGACCCAGAGAGCAAGGTGTCATCATCCCCAGCATGAAAAAAAAATGAACTCGGGTTCTTCCTCCCGTAAGTGAGGGACTGAGGGATACAAGCTGTTACATGTCGAGGTTTCCTTTTTTGAAGGATAGGGATCCAGATGACCCTCTTTGTTCTTCCAACATCAGCAGTGCCTTCCCAGATGCTCTCCCATCCTTCTGCCATTAGGTTGCTTCTCAACCCTTAGTAAAATTTTACCAGATAAAATCATATCCTATACTTGAGATGGGAATTCTCATTTAAGCAGGGTCTTGGGCAAAGTGAATATGTCAGCAAGCTAAGCTTTCTTATAATAGGTAGCTGGAACCATGTTGCTTCTTAAAAACGACAACAACAAGCAAACAAACAAACAAAAAACCAAAAACACCTTAACTCAGATGATTTTAAAATGGAAGATTTTATTCTCCTCCTTGCTTCTCCCACCACCCCACCCCCAGAATATTATTTTGCTAGAAAAGTAAGCATCAAAAAGTCAGGTTGCAAAAAAATCATGATTTTTCCCTCCCCAAAGGGAAGTGCAGGAAGCATAACCTGATTTTGTATATGAGGAAGCAAGATCAACATACAGTCCCCCACATCACACGCCCACATGTTCTGTTCTATCAAAATAGAAACGGCACAAGTGGCATCTTCTGCCCAATCTATGAACTGGTGTGAAAACACAAGCCCATGTACACAACAACAACAACAACAACAACAACAAAACAAACCAACAACAACAACAAAAAAAAACCATGACAGTTTCATAAAAGTGTATATTTCTGAGAGGAAAATGAGACCCTGGAGAAATAAGCATGCCACTTGGCTTTTTCATATGTTTTCTACTCTTGGAGAATGTAACTGGTTGGGGAAATCTCAAAGGCACTATCCTTGAAAGCAAACACTTAAGACACGGAATACTAAAATTTACTCCCAAAATTAGGATTCCAAATCACAGGAAATTATCCAGAGCGGAGAAAAAAAAATGTGTTGACATTTCAGATGTGTTGACATCTAATTCTAACTAGTTTGGCTCTTTGAAGCTCTTGGTAAGGTTTTTGATGCCTTCCCCAAAAATCTGTATAAAAAAAGGGAAGAAACTAATCCATTGGAAATTTGCAGAGAAAAATGTGATTATTCAGAGCTTACAGAACAATAACTTTTTTAACAATTGTATTGAATTCAATAATGATTAACTTCTAAGTTGTTACTCTACAGTGACTTTAAGACGTCCGTTGAATTAAAAAAAATTTCACCAAATTTAATATTATTTTCAGCACAAAGCTCTTTTAAATAACCTTCATTGGTTAAGAGCTACATCCAATTTTTTCACTACATTTTGGTTCCAATGAGCAAATAGGCTACTATCAACATGTGGAGCCACACACGTGCACATGCGAACATTCCTGTCAGTGACAGACACACACATAGGTGGCAGTGCATTCCTCTCCTCCGTCTAGATTTTTAAATCCTTAAAGAAAAGACTGGGCCAAAGTCCTATATAGCATCAGAATAGGATCATAAATAGGTTAAGTTCTAAACAGATCATAATTACCAATGGTCTAGTAAGAATTAAAAGAGAAATTAGACCACTTAACATCCCAGTTGCAGTGAACATTTTCAATTGCCTAAAACTAAACAGAGCTATCTATGTGAGCACATTTTCCCATGTCTTATTCTGCTTAAAACACTTAAAGCCTTCCTCAGTTTACAGATGAAAGTCCAAACTCTTGGAATGACACACGAGGGGCTCTCTGAACCAGTCTCTGCTGTGGCCTTTGATCTCCATTGTCTAAATGTGTGCTCCAGCAGAGCCACCAAATTACTCGTTTTCTTCACACATTGATGTTGTTCCTCCCCACCATGGGCTTCAGTCTCTGATGTCCCCCAGTCTTTGCCTGTCTCACACCATCAACTCACCTCTTCCAGGAAGCCTTCTATGGTCTGCATGAAGATATGTTTTTACACAAGACTCTGAGTTCTGTAAGGGTTAGGAGTGTGTCTTATCCATCTTTGACACTCCCCTTTCCATTAGCTTATTCAATGGATCAATCAATGCAGAAAGGAGATATTTAAGGGCTCTTCTCTTTAGGCATTAAATGGGACTCTGTACACAGGGCTTCGGGAGACAGTGGTCAAGGAGTGACTATAATGGTTGGAGATGAAAGTATTGGGCAGAGAGTTTAAGGAGCAATGATGGTGATGCTATGGTATAGTGACTGGAGAGCTGTTGAAAAAGAGATGCATGTTGGGGCAGGCAGTGCAAAACATGGGGAAGGACACTGGAATAGAAATCAAGAAAACCAGGGTATGTCTCTCACCTGGCCACAAACCAACCACGTAAGCTGTGTCAAAACACTTCAACTTCTCAGTGATGGGATGACCTCTAAGTCGGGTGACCACCTGTGCCAGTCTGCCTAGGACATTCCTGGGGAATGCCGGCCATGCGAGTGTGCATGTAGTTTAGCGTTGTCAAGACATGGACATTCAATCGTGTGCTCCCTCTCTCCCTCCCTCCTTCTCTTTCTCTTTTCCTTTCTCTTTTTCTCCTTTTTCTTTCTCTTTTTCTTTCTCTTTTCCTTCCTTCCTTCCTTCCTTCCTCTTTCTCGCTTTTCCTTAGTAAGACACAAGAATGCTGACATCAAGACACGAGTTCCTCAGAAAAAGAAACACAACCCACAGGATATATTAGGCAAAAAAAGGAGCTAAGTGCCAGGCCCCCATGGCAGGGCCTCTTCTAGGTAGTGAGGCTGGAGAGGCAATCAGCTTATCTCTGGCCCACGATCCCTCTGCTAACATTCCTGAGGGACATGCGCCGGGAGTCAGGCTACCCTTTGTCAGGGCCTGAGACCATAAATCCTTTCCCCCCTAAGTAGAGTTCATAAGATGAAAATTCAAGTCTAACCAAGTGACTTTGTGTCTATGGCTTGGACAGGACATTAAAACCTTCCTTTAATACTATTTTCTGTAGACCAGATTTTTTTTAAAGGGAGATTTTATTGCTGAAAGCTGCTTAGAGGCCACCTAGTCTACCTCTTTGGTTTTACCCATGAAGAAATTTAAGTTTTTTTCTGCCTTGCACATTATCCCTGATCATTTCGTAACAAAAGACTCTTATCAGGAGATGACTCCACGTGTATTTCTAAAGCACGGTCCCACAGGAGCAGCATTTGGTCAATAACAGAAATATATCTCCTTTTGCCTTTCTTGCCCTAATTTCATCTCTCTTAGCTCAGAGTCCACATTGGATTATTGCTCCTCCTTTCACTGCCTCTTTCCCACAAGGATTTCTCCAGCCAGAACCTCAGCTCCATCTCCTTCCTGCTACGTCTGCCCTGAAACTTTTACTCATTCATGTTCAAACCTCATTCTTCTAACACCTCCTATCTCCCCAACCATCTGCCTTCTCACCCTTTGCCAAGCCAACCCGCAGAAACTAGGCAAATGTTCTTCAAATTTTCAGTTCAAAGTCTAGCAGCAGTAGCTTTTGTGATTGTAGATACATAGGTGTAAATCTTTGTGAATAAAATGTTTTTACTTACTGTTTTCTGACTATTGGAATAATAAGGAATATAATTACATATGGTATCCATAGTGATGTTGATTAAAAGAATGAGTTTGGGTTTTTTGTTTTTTGTGGGTTTTTTTTGCCATGACAGCAGAAAACATTTGGATCTTGCACAAGACAAACATTAAATGTTTGGCCTAAAATATCTTTATTCCTTGGTACTATCTAACAGAGGATTAAAAAAAAGGACTAAAATGAATGAGGGGTGGACTTAGCTCCCTAACTGCCAACTAGGAGGCATTCCTAGGGAAAAATTGCCCTGCCATGAAGGAAAGAGGGATAACAAACAATGTTATTTCCCAGTCAGAATATGAAATCCATGTTGAGAACTTTGTTTGAGTAAGATAAGATCTATTACTAAGTCAACAGCTCCCAATCTCCAGCCATGTATTGTGGAATCAGAGTCAGAGATAAGTTCTGAGGACTCAGAGAAGCCTAGAGACTGCTCAGCTCCAGAATGCAGGACTAAGGACCCACCTCCCACCTGCTAGAAACAAAAAGAAAAATATGATTTCTGTGATGTTCACACCACGTAAGTCACTACAGAAGAAATGACTGTTGGAAGTCCACCCAGAGACACATTTTGGGACGATGCCTTCTCTAATGTATTTGTGGGTCTATGGCAATGTCTTAGTGCTCTGTCTAGCTGCTTAGTGTTGGAGGTGGGAGACTCTGATCCCCGGGAAGGAGCCAGCTGCTCTCCTCCCACAAAGGAACTTCCTGCCATCACTCCCGCTCCTGGGCTCGTTCTCTTAAGCCTTCCGTACCTGTTGTGTTTCTTCAGTGGAGAAGGACTCTCCAATCCTGGGCACCTGGGTTGAAGGAGTGTGGTTATGATTACAGTTACACTCGAGGGGCTGGGGTTGGTAAGAGGGTTTTAGGAGCCTTCAGAGGGACTGCAGGGGCAACTAAGTGGAGAAGTTTACGTTGCCCAAGCTCTTGAACATGAAGGAATTAATGGGTTATTTGGCTGACAAAGGATTTATTATGGGCAAAGAATGTATGCTTCAGAAAAAAGAAGGTTCTGGGTTTGTACTTAGAGACCTAACGTACAGAAGACCTGATGGGGGAGGAGAGAATCCACATCAAAAATGAAAAATAAGTGAGATCATAAATGAAAATGACATGAAGCCTATAAAGCTGGATAACTTAGTAAGGCTTCCATGGAGTGACTGAGGATATCTGGATTGATGAGGAGAAGAAGAAGGAGAGAGAGGACTTCCTTAAAAATGTTGAGAGACATGAATATAGGATGGCCCCAAAGGCTGTGTGATTAGGAGTCAGCTGTCCTAGAAAATCAGGGTGATGAAGGAGACTTCAAGTCATCAGTAATTACAGCCTATGAGAAGGGGAATTCTAGCAAAATAAAATTAGTAGAAGACATTGAAGGGCATAACTGATGGACGGGGGCGGGATTTGAAGGGTGAAGCATGAAAGAAGAAGCATGAGGTTGCTGTGGCACCGAGCCAGAACTAACAGGGCTCTGGAATGGGCAAGGAGAGGCTGATTTGAGAAAAGTTTTCAAAGTAGGACTGATAACATTTACAACAAGTGGGAAGGATAATGCACTAATGAAGTGTTAGAAATTTCAGAGCTTATGCAAAGATTTATGATCAATAAATAGAGAGGTACCAACTTGTTGGCTGAATGAAGTCATTCTAGAAATCTAGGGCTATAATTTCAGCAGAAGAAAACCCTTCTGATGAGCTTACTAAAATCTAATCAATATGCCAGTACTCCTCCATTCAGGCTGTTATGTTGATCTGGGGAGAGGTCACGGAATGAACCCTAATTAGGTGAATCTCCACTCTTCTCTTCTCTAATTTGATGTCTCTTCGTCTCCATTTGCACAATCTCAGAGTTTGTTGATGGATTGTGTGTAGCCTGTAAACGCTTGGCCAAAAACAACCTCAGTCAGTGGCCCACATTTGACCTGCAGAACCCTAAGGCAAATGGCACCATTGGTCAACAGGCTAGCTGTGAGCCAAGAACCAAGCGGAGACAACAGAGTTGCTTCTTGTCCTTTCTGTAGAGGTGCTAGGTTTTCAGAATTCCGCAAAGTACATCTTCTTGCCTTGGGCTAAATGTCCTTGACTTTCTACTGTCCCAAGTCAGGGTGAATGTCTACCCTCACAAGAATACCCATTAGGGAAACCCTGAAGTCTGATGTCTCTCTCTGTTCTTCATCATACAGGTGACACAATGAAGCCAAGGAAAAAGAGGAAGTGATTGCAGGCTGTTTTCCAAGAACAAAGGAGGAAGAAAACATGAGAGTTTTTTTTCTTTTCTTTCTTTCTTTCTTTCTTTCTTTCTTTCTTTCTTTCTTTCTTTCTTCTTTTTTTTTTTCTGGTTGGGGAGGTGGTGGAGTAATATAGGAGGTAGAAAGGACAGGGAATGATATCTAAATTTAATAAGAGGGTTTGTGAAGGTAGCTTAATTTGGGGACTCTTCATTTTTTTGCAAGGTTTACTGGACATGCCAAAAACAACTGTTGTCTCAGAATCTGTTACCTTCGTCTGGCCTCTGTGGTCAAAATCTGGCCAAAGGCCAAGGAAACTCACATAACTCGGCTTTAGAGAATGTTTAGATAGAGAAAGGGATTTGGGATCACTGAAACTCTTCACCTTACAGAAGAGGGTGTTGAGGACCTAGCTGAGAAGTAATCTGCACGAGGGCCAAAGAGCTAGTGTCACAACCAAGATAATAGCATTTGTCCCCCAGATCTTCTAACTCCCAGGCCTGTGCCATTTTGAATGACCCTAACTTTCCTAAAAATAAGTATTTTTGTCAACTAGCTATTTTCATGGACTGCTCATTGATTTTGTTTTCCTCAGTCTAGATAGAGATGTAGGGAGAGGGGTGCTACCAAAGTCATCTGTCCACCTGATAAGAGAGCAAATTAATTGGGGCAATGAGAAAGTAAGTTATAAAAAATATGGGGAAATTTGCCCCTCTTGTGAGCAAGCACTCGGGGCAGGTCCAAATATGGGACTTCACAACATCGTCATCAAAATCTCTTCCATTCGAATATTGCTTCATTCATCAAATAAATGTACATCTTACTTGGGGAGTAAGTGATGGGATGTGACATGGCCATGAGGACCCCCGAGAATGCTTTGGCACAAATCACTTTGCTGAGTTAGCTTACAGTTTAACAAAGCTGATGGCTAGTTGATTAACAAGCACATTCATGAACCCTGCTTTGATCTTCCTAGTGAGTTTTTCTGGGTCTTTATTTACAGGCACATTTTGTAAAGAACACAGATGATAAGGGTCTACTAGTGGGTAAGCATGGAGTCTCGCGGTGCTTCATCAGGTCCATGTGGGCTGGGTGTGGACAGCAGAGTAAATTGTACTTGGATTTCCCAACCTAGCACCATTCAGGAGAAATCTGGTGAAAATGGGTACATTTTGGTAAAAATTAGTCCTAGAACCACATCAAACCTTGATGGCTCTATGACTGGCCACTGTGCAATATCTATTCCAAGATCAGAAAACCTCAGAAATACCAAAAATGGTCTTGAGTTAGAGAAGAGGGCAGACTGCCACAACAGGGCAGGCAGCCCCGGGAAGCCTAGGACAGGCACCAAGAAACCTGCTGTCTTCCTAATCCTTTATCTACTAATATATAAATATGAGCCACAAGTCTTTTTTGGACTGAACTGGGAACACTATACCTGCTGCTGCCTGAGTGCTTGGAGCACCTGGTCTCAGCAGAAGCCCAGAAGCAGTTGTCACAATGGAAATTCCCCAAATGCGAAGCCCACAGGGGATCGCCTAAATTTTCCACACCCCAAAGATGACTGGGGCTGCATACTTCTCAGAGTGATAGTAAGCTCTTGGCTGGGATGAGCCTACTGAATTCTATTTGTGGCTTCACTGTCCCTGGAACCAAATTAAACCTTGATTTCTGTATAACTGACCATCATGCAGGATCCATTCCAATGCCAGAAATACCTGAGAACCGCCTCCCATCGAGCAAATATACAGGAGCACCTCCTCGCTGCTGGGGGGGCTGCTGGGGGGCTGCTGGAGCTTAAGAAAGGAGAAGCAACAAAACACCTGCAACGAACACGAAATACACTAAGTAACATTTGTTAGGAGGTCAGTAGGATTTGCTGCCTACAGAAGGCTAGGTCCTTAGGGGTTAGAGGACAATACCAACCACATGGGGAGAGAGTCAGCAATAATATTTGTGTAGGGTCATGTAATTGACAAACTCACTCACCCCCCATGATCTCGTTTTATCCTCATGAGAATCTTTTAAGTAGAAAATGTATCCATCCTCATTTTCCAAATGAAGAAACTGAGTTTCCGATATTGGCGCTCCGGTAAATGTTTAAAAACCAACTCTCCAGAAAAAGGAAAATTGTAAGGCCCTAATTTATAGTGATTGCCCATTCAGTGGTGGGAACACTCCACCACAACCTTTTTCAAGCTACCAAGAGGCCACTGAAGGCAGAGCTGGGAAGAGATATGCATAACTATTTGGTCCTTGAAAGGACCACAGGAGTTGGCTCTGGTATGCCACTGGTCCAAGGTCACACGCGTGGTCAATTCCTGAGGCCATCTTCCTAACTCTTTTTTTTTTTAACTTTTTTTTTTTTAAGATTTTATTTATTTATTTGACAGAAAGAGACACAGCCAGAGAGGGAACAGAAGCAGGGGGAGTGGGAGAGGGAGAAGCAGGCCTGCAGCGGAGCAAGGAGCCTGATGTGGGACTCCAACCCAGGACCCTGGGATCATGACCTGAGCCGAAGGCAGATGCTTAATGACTGAGCCACCCAGGCGCCCTGCCTATCTCTTGATTATAGAGCAGAGCAGTAACTGGCCATCTGAAAGCTTTTACTTAACAAAGCAAAAATGTGTGTATATCTGCAAGGCTGGACCGAAGGTGGTGGTCAGGGGATGCCAACTTGGTGGAAACTCTCATCCACAGAGGCAGAGAGAGGAGCACCTCCAATGCCTCGTGAATTGGTCCATACTTTCTAGCATTGCTATCTTACATGTAACACCAATTTTCAACTTGGGGCGAACACTTACCCTGTTTGCCTAAATAGTCCATTAGCCCCATCCTCTCCTCAAATGGGTCATGCATTTCTTAAGCTATTTTCAGCTCCTCTGCACCTACTCGCTTGCAATACTTGTCATAACAGGAAGTTAGTTGCATATACTGTAATCCCCAAACACGTGGCGCCTGCACGCGGGGAGCGGGAGGGGGCCAAGGGAGGAGTGGGGAGGCCGGGCTTCCCAGAAGGCCGCCTGGCTGAGCCCTGAACCTATCCCAGGTCTGGGCCTCTCCCTCCGGGACCCAAGTGTCAGAAACCAGAATCCTTACCCAGACATTGTTTTCCTCTCTCATGCAGTTGGTGGCTCTTTTTCTTTTCTTTCTTTCTTTCTTTTTTTTTTTTTTAATAAAGCACTTGAGTAGGCAGCAAAGCCAGTCAGAACTGTTTATTTATAGCTGTGGATTTTCAATGCTGTATAAATTAGAAATCATTGCTGAATGAGGCCCGCGCCCACTCACACACGCAGGGCTGCTACCCGCGGTCCTTTCACACAGTTTGGCTGTACAGTCTAAAATGGGAGAAAATGACATGCTCCAAGTCAAATGACGAAGTCACAGCTAAACTGCAAAGCAGAAAACCAGCAATTATTTTTCCTCAGCACAATATGGGGGTACGACAGGTGCAATTATCCAATATTATTTAACAGCACCGGTTTGTGGTGTAGGGAGAAAATAAAGGTTTCCGTGTCTCAGAGAGGAAAAAAAAGGAGAGAGAGACAGAGAGAGAGAACCTGCCTCCTAGCTCCTGTTTCTGTGGATTAAGCTGTGTTAATGTAAATTGAAACTGGCCAGGATTCCAAAAAGGGAAGGGAGAAGCACCTGGCTCCCTCGCCCTTCCTCTCCAGAAGCTCGCAACCTGTGTCATCAGGGACTTCTGAGAAAAAGCCCCTCACCCTGGGGACCCTGACTGTCCTCCTCTGTGGCAGTGGTTCCGGATAAGACTGTGGGCCAGGCCAGGTTTGCAGAGTTCCCATCCCTTAGACTAGGGAAACCCTCTCCTCCACTGGCTCTCCCTCCCTCGGCTGCAGATGAGGTAAAAGAGCAGGTGACCCACAGGGAATAATTTTCATCCTCTTAAGTACCCCCTGTTTTGGCCTCCAGCATGATTTTATTCCTATTTCCATTATACTGCTCTCCCTCCCTGAAAAGACTGCTGTTCGTCCAGCAACTGTTACATAAACAAGTTGTTCTTCGTGGCTTCTGACTTTCCTGGGCGCCGCTTCCCAGTCTCCTTCAAAGTTCCCTCTAGCTCTCTGAGGCACAAGGCTCATTCCCTTCTCTACACCCCAGAGTGGGCCATACCTGTCCCATCCAGCTTTGCCTCTCTGTCCTTCATCCAGCCTCTTGGCTTCTGTTCCCATAGCAGTTGGGAAGCTGGAAAGAACATGAGCTTAAGAACCACAGCAGATCTGAATTCAACCTGACTCCACCCCTTGCTACGTAATTAGAACGTGGGGAAAAGAGTTTACTTTTCTGAGGCTTGGTTCTTTAAAGTCACGTGATAATACCTACCATGAGTAAATAAGATTATTTAAAGGAGTGGTGGCATCCAAGATTCTCCATTCCATCCTGCTTGACTGCAAGCTCATTGAGACCAGCGGCTACGGCGAGTTGTCTGTATCCCCAACAAGGCCTAGCTCTATACCGTGACAGAGTACTGGAAGTATGTGCAGAGAATTGATTTAGGGGTTACTTACAGCTTCTTAATTCTATAGGCTTCATCACCAGTGATCTTCCCCCTTTCCCAGAAGCTGAGATTGTCAACATGAGAGCCACCATTTCACTGAAAATTCTCTCTCCATGTTAAATCCCAGAATCCTATTACCAGTGATGATCAAGTTATAGTTTCATGGGACCAAGCAGTGGAAAGCACACTGACAGAACGGAACATAGTGCAAATAAATTTTGATAAAGAGGAAAAGCAGCTGAGGAATGGCCTGGAGAATAAAGATTGCATGCAGGTGGAGCTCCAGATTGGATGACTGGATAGCCCTGATTACCCCAAAGAGCACCTGCAGGGTACTGATCCAAATCAGGAAGACTGATCCCCAAAAGAGAAGTGGGGGCAGGGGGAGCACTGAAGACAAATCCTGTTTACGTCAGAATTTATTTTCTTTTAGGTTCCTGTTCTGCCCTTTCTTACAGATGATAGTTCTTATCA